ACAGGGATGCTACAGAGGTTGAAATACAGTCCTAAGCTACCTTTTTCAATGGCATTTTATCTCTGATTGGTCAATAAGTGAACTGTTGTAAGTCGAGGGCTACCTGTATTTCCTGAAGCCATCTGCCCTATGGGCTGGTTCCTAACTAGTCCCCCTTCTCAAGGTGTTGTTCCCCATTGGGCCAACGTGCCTACCAAGCATTCCATCAATGGGCGCTTTCTCCTAGTTTTGTCCGCTCGTGTGCCTGGCCGCGTGCGCCTAGCAATGTCTTTCCTCCCTCTTTCCTGAAAAAAAGCCGACAGGAGCGTCGACTGTAATATCACGCGGCCTGCTTTGCGTTCCAGTTTTTCTGTCCGACTGTGGAGCCGAGGCCAAGATATCAGGGTATGTAATGGACACCCCCTGTCAGCTGTTGTCCTCCTCGCAGGCTGACAAGAGGTCCATTCATAAGCCTCCCTTTTATCCTTGGGGGGGGGGGTTGAATAAGTAATTATTCAATATCGAGAAGAGCGCCTATTTGGAAGCCTCTATTTAATGTGGCAGGACGACATAATGAAACCCGCCGTTTCTGGCAACCCGAGAGAGGAATGTAACAATTCTAGCACGGCCGGTAACTTTATCCAGATGGACGGCCCGTTTCTTTGGCACATCAACCGGCCTTTTCTCCCGCTGACTGGCAGCTCTTGAAGGGGTTGCATTGACGTCCCTTCTATCCTGCATTGTCATTTTTTAACGGCAGACAAGCTCCAGTGGGAGCGGGTGGTAATTTGAATCCGCTTTTCCATAGAGCCGAGGCGAAGAGATAGTTGATCCTGACTATTGTAGCATAACGCGCCCGGTGACTTAGCATTTGCTTACAGGGGATAATCTTACTGATTACAATTAAGGAGGGGGAAATTTGGACAGGAATACTGTGTGTCTGATTCTCCGTGTCAGTGTGACTTTATTTTTTTTACACCGGGAAGACAATGTCGTCTCCCTGTCATTGTCACTGTTATTCTTGGCCTTGTAAGGATCACAGTTCAGAGTGAATGCTGGAATATCAAAGAGGGAATAAAATAAAAGAAACCTGGTTCTAAATGTTAATAAAAGAGATCATCGTAGATTTTAGAAAGAGCTGGCATGGTTGTACTCCACTTAGTATCAAGGATGCAGCTGTAGAGGTTTGTCGACAGTGTTAAGTATCTGGGGGTGCAGATAACTAACAATGAACTGGTCTCTGCACACGTCATTCCTAGTTAAGCATGGAAACCAGCATCTGCATTTCCTGCATCGGATGAGGAGAGCACATCTTTTGCCTTCTGTACTGGCCACTTTTTACAGAGGCACGGTTGAGAGCATTTTCACCAACTGCATCCCTGTTTGTTTTGGTGGCCGCAGTGCCTCAAATAGAAAGTCCCTACAGAGAGAGGTGAGGACAACCGAGAAGATTATAGGAAGATTGCATCCCGTCATTCAGGATACTGCTTATATAAGCGCTATGTGCTTAGAGCTCAAAGCATTTTTTTGAGACCCCCACGCACCCACTTCACTTTCTGTTCCTCTTGCTCTCCTCTGGGAAGAGGTTTCCAAGTATTTCTAGCAGGACTTCCGGATTCTGTAGCAGCTTTGTTCCCTAGGCCGTCCGTCTGGTAAACTTGCAAGATTCGTTTTTCTCGCTATGTACAGGTATACATCCAAGACTGTGTTGTTTTTCTGAGTCATATAATATATGTGGGTATTTGCATAATTCTCTATTTATTTATTCTGTTGTGTTTATGCAGTGTATATTGGAGGTGGTGACCCTTTGAGAGCTGTAGGCAAACGAAATTTCATTTTCATGTGTGCTGATTAGTGTCCATTCAAAGTGACAATAAAGTTATTCTAAGTCTTAAGTCATAGAAGGAATGATTCAGACCTGGAGATCAATCACCAGCTCAGGGCAGGAATTGAAATTAAAGCAGACTTGACAGATGGCTGTCCACCTTCTGATTTACAGTGGGCCTCTGTGGGCCATTGGTTCCACAGTCAAATTTCAGGCAGTATACGACCATAAGAGAGAGAGGGAGGGAGAGAGATACAGAGAGAGCACCAATCACCAGGAGACAGTGAGTTCTAGTCCTACTTTAGCCATGACAGCAAGCCGGATGACCTTGGGCCAATCACCAGGAGACTGAGAGTTCTAGACCCACCTTAGACATGAAAAATGGCTGAGTAACCTTGGGCCAATCACCAGGAGACTGAGAGTTCTAGACCCACCTTAGACATGAAAAATGGCTGAGTAACCTTGGGCCAATCACCAGGAGACTGAGAGTTCTAGACCCAC